TAGGACGCACTTCCTTGTTCCTGGAGCCAGCATGTTTCCACGACGCCTGCTTCCCACAGCCCAGTGAAGCGATGTGACTTGCTGGCTTTGCACAAAGAATGAGTGTTAAAGCAAGGGGAGAGTGGACGCAAGGCTGGTGAGTGGGGTAGGCTAGTGCCAAAATTTTCGCTAGAAAATTGGGTTTCTCCCTACGTTTGCATCAGTCAGTCATATTCTGTTTCTCTTCCTTCAAGATTCCTCCCACGCCCTGAGGCTGCCCTGACCGGGTCACCTGAGCACTTCAGACACGACCTCACCTCCTTTGGGGCCCTTTGAAGTCCACAACAGCACATTTTCCACATAGTTACGTAGTTCTTTCTTTGCTTTTGGATTCCTTGCAGGTGTACAACTTGTCTCCCTAACTAAATTCTTAACTCTTAAAGAGCCCGGTTCATGTCAAACATTTTATTTTGCTATTGCCAAATAGTGTCTGGTGCAGCCTTAGGCGTGTAGTAAGTTTTAAAAAAATACAGATTGGATTGAAACTGACACTGAATTCACTTAGGGTAGGAAGGAGCGTGGACAATAACCACGTGGAAGGCACAGTGTGCAGCAGGAGATAAGGCGTTGGTTAGGGGAGTCGGATAGTTATCAGTGTCTAACACGCAAAGAGGAACGTATCTTCACATAAAAAGGGTTTTCCTGTCTTTTAATAATAATGACTTTGCACTCTAAATTTACTTGGAAGGAGGAGAATACTGGCATTTTAATTGCCAAGTAAGTTGTCTTCTCAACTATTAATAGCTAGAAGGTCTATTTTCCTGGGACCACCTTTGTGTATAAACAATATTGAAATATTGTTGAAACAATATTGAACAATATTGGAATAAAATACAGAACTTGTCATTTACAGTTAATTATACTCAGTAGCACTAAACAGCACACAAACAGCAAGACTGAGGGTAAATCTTTCACTTCCTGTTCACTAGAATCCCATTTGTGTGACTATTATGTTCGGGCAACTTAAAAGAAGAGTATTCGTGACGCCCCTCAGGGAGTTTTCCCCAGGCAGAAGAGGTAGGACAGCCCCAAGTACTACGGTGGCCAGATTGTGTGTTTGTTATCTGGAGAAAGATGTCTGGGGGGAGGTGAGTGGAGGGGACAGGAAGGTAGTTTTGTGTCATGAGGTGATGAGTCAAAGATTTCTCAGGCTGTCCTGCCCCCAGTGCCTGGCACTCTGCTGTCAACATCATGATTGAATATGGAGCCTCCACTAGGACACCCTTCACCCCGTTTAGGACATTGGAATAATGGGACCTACCACTCGCAGGAGTAGGGGAAGAGTGGCTCAAAAGTGGACAGGGCCGGGCACAGCAGCTCACGCCTGTAATCCCAGCACTTTAGGAGGCCAAGGCAGGAGGATCACTTGAGGCCAGGAGTTTGAGATCAACCTGGGCAACATAGTGAGCCCCCATCTCTCCAAAACATTTTAAAAAATTAGCTGGGTGTGGTAGTGCCCACCTGTTTTCCTAGCTACTCTGGAGGCTGAAACAGGAGGATCACTTGAGCCCAGGAGTTGGAGGCTGCAATGAGCTATGGTCGGGCCACTGCCCTTCAGCCTGGGCAACAGAGCAAGACCCTGTCTCTGTTGCCCAGGCTGAGCAAAAAAAAGCAACAAGAAAGAAAAAGTGGCTGGGGTCTACTCTCTGGAGCAGCAGGAAGCACGCCTCTGTGGAGCCGGGCACAGAGGAAGGGAGGCGGTACCACTGGGCTTGCTTCACAGTTCTGCCAAGGACTCTCTTTCTTCCCCCACGCATTTTAGAGCGCACCTTCCTCCTCCTGAGGCTCCCACCGGCACTGGGGTAAACAGCAGGAGAGCTCCTGCTGGGCCCTGGTGGCACCAACGCTGCCTGTTGGCTCTGGGTCACATTCCTTCCCAGACTTCACAGGCCTCGGGTTACAAAGACCTGTTGCACAACTCTTAGGAGAGTGGGCATGGGGGCTGGGCTGCAAGGAAGGGCTGTGTCCTGCGTGTGTCAGAGTTCCAGTGTGGCCAGGTGCCAAGGCCCCTCAGGAGGTGGCAGTGAGAGTGACACTCTAATGTCTCAGGATCTCCCAAGACGTAGCTTGCACTTTTACTTTTTTTTTTTTTTTTTCCTCCCAAAGCTCTCAAATAAGACGCGTCAAGGCTGTATCTTCTCGGGTAATTTGAAGGAAAACATGTCAAGGGCTGACTTGGCATACCTGTGTTTCAGTTTACTGGAGAGATTGGACACTTCAAAACCACCATGAGGAATTCTGAAACTAAAGCACCTTTTATATTCCCTCCATCTTTCACTATGAGCTTTCTCCTGCAGTTCTATGCTGTGGTACGTGCAAAATTACTCAAAATATTACACAACTTTTAAAGTGAATATGGAAACTGAAAGATGTTACTACAGAGCTGCTTAAACCCTATGCCACGATGGAATGTTCTTTCTTGTTGGTAATCATTTCATAATTCTCTTTTATTAAAGACAATCTGCGTGGAAAACCAGAAACATATGGAAGATCCCTACGGGAAGTACACATTTCAGTTGGCTGAGAGACAATCTAATGGCCTAGAAAATATTCGTTAGACCTTTCCAAAGCCCGTGATGGAGCTGAGGTCTATGAAAACTAGGTCTATATTTTTATTAAACAATTTGTCATTTCATTTCATTTTCTTTCAGAATTTGGACCTTTAATATTAATACATTTGCAATGAATTCAATTGGAAAAACTCAGAGTGCCCTCATCCAGGAGTGCCTGCGCTCAAACTTACAGATTCACTGGGGATGCAAGACATGTGCAGCAATACATAAAACAAACCCTGGATGAGCCCAAGGAGGCCCCTAAATTATCAAGATCATTCCAAATAAAATATTAATTATTAGGGTAAGTCAGGCTGGTTACCACAGATGGGTGTAGCCCCACACCTGCCAGATAAAGTGTTTGCTTTTATGCACATTCACAGGGTGTACACACACACACACACACACACACACACACACACACATGCTCGTAAACAAAGTGTGATCTACCTAAATTGGAAACAGGGCCACAGGAAGACTGTATATTTATTATAAAGCAAAAAGCTGGTAAGTTGTATAAATGCTTTTTTTTTAATGGACTACTTCTAATCAGGCCTCCATTCCCAATATCCTGTCAATGTCTCTGGACTTATTTTCACTGCTATCTCAGCCTTTGGGATGGGGTCTTGGGTATCTTTTTTTGCCCTTGACTACAGTTTATTTTGTTTGGAGCTGCAGCAGCTAGGAGAACACCTGCAGTTACCAATAACCATATCCAGGTGAGCAAAAGAGATCTCCCCCTTGTAGAACATTCTAACTTAGAAATTAAAAGAGCTAGTTCAAATGTGAACTAATAAATTCATTCACCATGCATGGGGGGCAGAGAGTATCAGAGAGATCACCAGGCTGGGGATGGGAGGATTTGCACTTCAGTCCCAGCACTAACTAGCTGGATGCCCCTAGCCAAGGCACTTAACCTGTCTGTGCCGGTGTCTCCTTCTGGAACTGGAACTGTTGGAGTGGATGATCTCAGTTGCACCCAACTCTAAAATTCTGTGATACGTGACTAACGGTGGCAGTATGTGACTAATACAACGATCAGAGAATATTATAGTCAATAAATGCAAATGTAGATGAGTTAGGACATTCTGTGCTTTGCGGACACTATTTTAGCCTAAACTTAGTTTTCCATGACTATCAAATGAATGAAGTCTAAAAACTAGACCAATGAGATTTTAAGATTAAGGTCTGAAGAGGCTGGACCTAATCGATTTGTGACAGTCACAGTGACTTCTTTAGGTAGAAGTTGAATGTGTTCTATCAAGTTAATCAAGTGCAGGTACGTTCTGTTTAGCTGGATCTCTCAATATTTTGCATGCTTTGGGCTATTACTGCTTTCATGGAGTATGAGAGACTGGGCCTTACTGCTGTGACATATTTACTGATGATGTGCTGGTCAAAGAGCATTAAGACTGTGTCCTGTGGATAGAGATTCCCTCTCCTCCTCCTCTTGTCTACTGCCCTTGGGGTCCCCTGTGGGTAACTGACCTACCTGTCGGAACAGCGACTGCAGCTGCCACTAAACTGACCTTGCAGGGACACCTCGGCGTGCCTGCCCGGGCCCTCCTGCGCTGACTCTGGGGTCGCAGTGTGCTGAGACCCAAGGGAGTCCAGATGGAGATGAGTCAGGCCTGGCACCCACCCCACCCTCCACCCTGCTGGTAAACAGAGCGGCTCTTTGCCGTCACTCGGAGCCTCTCAGGGCCCCAGGACTCCAGGAAGAAACAAATACTGCAGAAGCCAAAACCCCAAGGCAAGGTAAAGAAAACAGAACTGTCCACATCACCAGCAGCGATTGCACTGGCGACAGTTCCCTGGAAGTGGGGGGCGGGGGGGGGGGCTGTAGGTGGCTCCAGCTGAACCGTTTCACTTACTTCTCAACCAGAAGGCCCGTCACTTTCTCTGTTTACAGGAGGTGGCCTTTTGCCCTTTAAGCCTTGAAATTTCAAAACTCGCCTTTAGAGTCAATCTCAGTTGCTACAACCCATAATACATGTCTCCCTCCTCTTTTTATTACTTTGTAGTTTTTTGGTACTAGTTTCTATTAAAATACTTCTTATTAACTTCCTGTTAACTTATTTTTGTTTACTCTTCCCTGTCATTCTGGGGAGAAGCTATTGAAAGAAAAAACATCTAGACAGAAAAATAGCCCCAGGAGACGCGTGTGGACCACAGCCTTGGAAATGTCCTCGTGGCCCAGCTTCGCGATAAGAAGCCTGGCTGGTGGCAGGATGTGCCCAGCTCTGGGCTGTTCATGTGGAACTTCACATGACCCCAATGTAGCTGGGATGCAGTCTCTGCGCCTAGACTGCTCCCCCTAAGTCTAGAGACACACTCCACTTGGGGACCTCTCCTCCTTCTCCTTCAGGTACCAGCAAGTCTGTTCCGAGCCTAGCAAATGGCACGTACCTGAGCCGGAGGCATGGCTGGCTGATCCTGTCAAGCTCCTTCAGGTAGCGTCCCACCTCTACTACTTCACAAACTGAACTTCCTGCCGCTTCTCCTTCTGGGGAGCTGAGGTCACACCTGGGGGGCATATTGTGATGTCACAGAGTGGAATTCTCACTCCTCCCCCTGGCCCCCCGGAAACCCTCCTGGACAGCACTTCCTCTCCTGCCCAGGGCAGGAGCCGGCAAAGACAACTCCCTCACTCCCCACCCCTACCCCGTTTCCATTTTCTCAGCCACTCAGAACCTTGTCAGGGATCACAAGGAAGAATGCCCCGGCAGGTCATACGGCAGCCCACAGAATCATGGGTTCTTACTGTGGGGAGAGACCTAGGAGACCGTCCACTGATTAGACGCTTGTCCAACTTTCTTATTTTACAGATGAGGAAACTGAGGCCTTGCAGGGGAAGTAGCAGACCTAACCCTAGAGCCCAGGTGCCCTCCCTGTGAGCTCCCCGCTGCTTTGGCCACACTCATACACACCCTGCTTTGCTTTCTGGATTTTGTAGACATTATGGTTTTCTGGTAGGCAGATCATTGGGCGATTTTTACCTGAATCCACCTGCAACAAGAGACCAACTCTTAGATAGTGTTTATGATGGGAAGAGAACAGAGTCTCAGCGAAAATGATTAGTTTTTCTGACAACCTATATAGGTACCAGAGTAGCTGGCCCTGGTCCTAGCCCGGACTCAGAAGTCCCGACCCGCCAGCAGACCAGCTCTAGACGAGCAAGTGATACGACTTCTGTGTAACCTGTGTTCTCACTGAGATCTGATGAGCAATTGCAACAAAGCTTGAATCAAAGTGCAGAGTTAGCACTGACTGCAAGGCTAGACCAGGTTCTGGTGTTGTCCAGGAGGGGCTGGGGAGCCACAATCTGTAAAAAGATAGATTCTCACTGGAATTTAGTTCTTTTTTCTTTTATACCCTTCACTTTTTCTATACACTAACCCCATATGGCACTAAAAATTATCTGCATTGCATGAGACGACTTGTATCTGTGAAGTTGGAGAATCGTGCCTTCAGAGTCTCTCAAGAGGAGAACATACCTTGCACTTTTTTAATACCAACAACTAACATTTTATATCGTGCTTCAGCATTTACAAGCTATTTTCACATATATCACTTCATTTAATCTTCACAACTTGGTGAGGTAAACAGAGTTATTTTTAGCATAAAAATAATGGATGAGAAAATTACAGCGTAGAGAGGTTGTGACTTGCGCAAGATCACAAAGCTAATTAAGTGGAAAGGCTAACATTAGCTACAAACCAGGTCTTACAGCCAAGCATTTTCCCCACTGCAGGGCTTCCCTGTGGGGCTGGGGGTGGGGGGAGGATTGTCATTTGGTCCCAGAACACACTTGAAGACATCAAGCATTAAGCAACCCTTTGAGTAACAAAGAAGAAATTATTCCCATGGGTCATTAATACTGCTTTACTAACCTCCTAAATGGCTTCATAAAAACTTATAGAAATGGTTAATGAACACTAATTTCAAACTTTAAAAATAATTATTGCCCTTTCACTCAACAGTGCCACATCTGTGAATTCTCCTAAGGGAACTGTCATGGATATGAGTGATATTTGGCTACAAGAGGTTCCGTAAAGCATTGTCTACGATAGAAAACAAACTGAAAGGTCAACATTAGAGAAGTGGTAAAATGAATTATGCTGGACTCATGACAATAATGTTGTAGGCCAGTTTCCCAAATGCTGATCATTCACATGCCGTCTTCAGAATATTGCGATCTTCCCCCATATTTACTTAACATTTTCCTTTAACTCACACATTTTACTCAAATAAAAGTATCTAAAGGTAATTTTGTATCCTTACCATAAGTGGAAATACAGTATTACTTACCTTAAGTGTCAGATAACGATAAAAACAAACATAATGAAAGCAAAGTGATGTTATTAATGCATGAATTTGGTCCTGATACCTCGCTGATTATCAGGATTGATTGATTTAATGAAATCACAATTTGTATCCTTTATTTCCATCACAAACTCCATCTTTCTGCATTAAAAAGCTCTTTTTTTCATCCCTGATCTATAACAGGCTCCATGGGGAAAAGACATGAAGTGTGTGTCTGATTGCAAATCACAGTTTGGAATATTAACACATACATTACTTATTAAATCAATTTGGAATATTAACACATACATTGCTTATTAAATCAATAATTCCCAAAACTTGTGTCAATGGAAAAAAGCCAAGTCTGCAAAATAATTTTAAAGAGATTTATTCTGAGCCAAATTTGAGGACCATGACCCGGAGCCACTGCCAAGAGGCCTTGGGCAAGTGGACTCGCTGTGGCTGGGTTACAGTTTGGTTTTTATACAGTTTAGAGACAAGGGTTATGGGTAAAGCCATCAATCAATGTGTGGGAGGTATACATTGGTTTGGCCCAAAAAGGAGGGCCATCTCGAAGGGGGGGGGCTTACAAGTTATAGGTGGGTTTAAAGATTCTTTAGATTGTAATTGGCTAAAGACATGAAGCTTTGTCTAAAGAGGTGGAATGTTTTAACATAAACTGTTTACCAGAGATAAGCCACCATTTGTTGCAAATTGAGGGCCTGCAGGTTTGTCGTGCATACCCTTAGGCCTGTTAATGGGTTACAAAGGAAGTCTCTAAGAAGGGAGGGGGGCATGATAAGGCCTGTCTGACCTCCCTCCTCCTGGCAGGCAACTTTGCCCTTGAATATTCCTCTGGCCACCAGGGGGTCCATTCTGTCAGCCGGTAGGGGTTGAGCATTTTAGTTCACACTTGCTTTACAGATCACCCTGCTTAGACCAGGGTATTCCCATGGCAGGATGTACAGGATAAAACCCCGTTTTCCTGAATTGGTCTTCCTCCAGCTCTCATCTTAGGGGGAAAACATTAGACCCTCACCTGTGTTTTGTCTTGGATAAGTACGTACTAACACTTTACATTCGGTGGGAGCGTGGTTTATGCTGTTTCCCTTTAGCTGTTTCCCGTAACCAAATGCAGCGCCTGCCGCAGAAATGCACGAAGCCTCATGCCAAGAGAGGACAGAGGCTCCAGGTCCCTGCAGCAGTGATAAGACAAGTCTACATACCCTTTCATAAACAGACATTCTTCAGGCTAAATGAAACTTATAGGTATTTGTAAGTCAGAGTTCAAAGGTTTTTGCTCAGTGATGGAGGAGGATTTTGTAGGGGAAAACATATTAATTTGTTAACACTTAAATTCCACTTTAAGCCGCAATTTCTTAAATTGTGGTCTATAGACTCCGTCATGAGAATCACCTAGTTCATTAACAAAAATGTATATACACACACACATGCACTTACACACACACACACACACACATATATATATGCAGATTCCCATACAGCTCCCTGGATTTGCAGCCTCCCAATCTCTGGGGCTGAGTGGGGGATGCACTTGTAGTCCAGCCCCCCAGGGCTTCTGATGCAAATACCTGAGAACAATGCTCTAAGGCCAGAGGCTCCCAAATTTCCTTGTTAAAACACAAATTGACACCCCATCCATCAAATTTCTGGTTCTGCAGGTGTGGTGTGGAGGGAAGCCCAACCTTGACATTTTAAACAAATCCCTAGGGCTGACGATTGAGAACACACTTTGAGAACTTTTGCACTTGACTCAAGAAACTGGGGAGATTCTAAAGGGATTTCTACAGGCCTAGAAAATGCAGTTTGGGAACTTGAGTCTTTGCCTACTAAATACTCAGAAAATAATTTGTAGATGAAGGAATTTTGTTCTTATTTTGCATTTGACTTTTGTTTTTTAATTAGGGTATTTTCCTACAAATAATTTTATTTTCCCACTAAAATGCGTGTAGTCCATGTCCATCTGTCCAGAATTCTCCAAGGTTAAGCAGAATCACTCTTCCTTATTTTGTTCCTTTTAAAAATCTTAATGAATGAATGTAATTGATGTCTGACTTTCCAGATACCTGCATTTATATGATTTTAATGACCCACTGAACACTAGTATCAGCATAACCACAGGTACCAGAGCTAAACCTACAAAATAGGTAAGGGATACGAACAGAACATGTGCTAGAGATTTCAACTGAGCCTTAGTGACTCTGAAGCTGGACTCTCCTTTAAAGGATGCTATGAGAATTCAACAGAATCCCAAAAAAGTACATCTAATTCCAGGTTTTTTTCTAAACCAAACTACTAATGCTTAAGAGAAATGGAAGCATTGCCTATAGAATCAGAAAAATCTTTTGAATCAGAGAGATATTGCTAATGTTTGCAACAATGAAACCTATTTTGTGTACTCACAAAATCATAATATTTTCTTAAAACAAAGGTATTACTCTATACCCCAACAGAATTCATTTTTAAGTAGTGCTAACGACATTATTAGAAGAAAATGTCAGCCAAGCTGTAATAAAACTTTTCCAGGCCAATAAAAATGTTTTGAGCTGAATGCTTTAAAATTATTGGCTTTGAAAGGTTAAAATAATAAGTGATCACAGATCTGAGAAGTACAATGCTCAAGTCTGTCAACAGAAAAGAAGACAAACACTGTAAAATAATTTAAGGAGGTTTATTCTGAGCCAAATTCGAGGTCCATGGCCCAGAGCCACACCCAAGAAGCCTTGAGCAGTGGACTCGCTGTGGCTGGGTTATAGTTTGGTTTTATACATTTAGGGGAGACAGGGATTACAGGTAAAGTCATAAATCAATACATGGAAGGCATACACTGGTTTGGCCCCAAAAGGTGAGACATCTCAAAGTGGGTGTTACAAGTCATAGGTGGGTTTAGGGATTCTTTAGTTGACAACTGGCTGAAAGAGTTTGGCTTTGTCCAAAAAACTGAGAATCAGTGGAAAGGAATTCTTGAGTTAAGATAAGGGTCTTCTATCTTTTATGTGATGCTGTACCAGAATCAGTTCAGAAAGTAAACCACATCACAAAAACCTATTTACTGAGATTTTATCATTTATAGGTGTGACTCACAAAGGAATTCTTGGCCAAAGAAAAAGATCAGAATTCAGTCCTCAGTTCAGTAGCAGAGACATTTTATGCTGTGTCCTAAGTAAAGTATAGGGGACATACATCT